AATACTGTGCAAGGCCTGTGAAGGCATGACACGCAGGGGTTAAGTGTGGCTAAGAAGCTTCTAATTGTGGTAGCAGATTTTGAAGAGATGAAATGCTTCCTTGCACCTTACATGTGGCGTGCTTCGGCTGTTCGTGTATGTATGCTACTATGCTATGGCGGTATGTGCTATAGGTATGTATGCACTGTATCCTATGGCGCCAATACTGACTATTACTGTATCAAAGTAAACGTAAATCTAAACCTTCAGAATTTATGTTACATTTTTGTTCAGTCAATACGTCACAGTCACTCACTTGTCGTAGTTCTAGTTGCAGGAAATATGACAACCTTGCTTTAGTTTAATTATTTCTCAGGTACTTAAGTATTTAAAAATACTTTTAACCTATTATTTTTAGTTTGCACGCTGAGCCTGTTGTACCTACATTTATTAAAACTAAATGACGCGAGAGATTAGCGTAGCAACTCACGGTGAGCTGGGTCGCCATTAGACTTGTAACATGTCTCTATATATATAGACTACCTAGTAGCAAGGTGTAGAGATAGGGTACCAGTCTATGCCGCCAGCAACATCGTTACAGCTGAATTTTAAGGACCGGCTAACAACGCACCAGCATAAGTTTCGTGAAACACTTTAACGAGGGACGTTTAGGACAGCGTTAGGCTCTCGTACAAGAATTCTAAGGATATCCTTAAGATGGTGTTTTTACGATAGCTTCGTGAAACGGGCCCCAGCTGCAGGTTTATTATGCTTTAGCATACCCATATCTACATTATGCAGTGCTCAGCTGGGCATCATCACCTAAATATATTCTACATCCAGTAAGAGTTATTCACAATAACATTATAAAATATATAGCGTTCGGGAAATATCAAGAACATGTTACTGAATATTATAAAAAATTAAATTATTGAAACTAGAAGACATATATACTTTGGAACTTGGGAAATTTATGCATAAATTTCACAATAATAAACTACCGATCTTATATAGAGCATACTTTATTAAAGTTAATGATATTCATCCTTATATTACACGTTATTCAGTTCACTCTCATTATCATCTCCCTCGTACTCTAACATCATTAGGACAAAACACACTCAAATTCAAAGGAGTAAAGTGCTGGAACGATATACCTCAATCAATAAAAGTTAACAATCTGAATTCCTTTAAATTTAATCTTAAGAAATTTCTTATTAATAAATATACGTAGTAACTATTGTATTAAATTGAAGATATTTTATATAAGTAAGGTATGCAAATTAATATCAAATTATATCTATATTATATTTATTTTTTACAGCATTGTATATAGTCTATCCGGTGTTTCATACATAAGATCGGCTGTATAAACAATATTTCCATGTACTTTAGGCTACGGTTCCTATATACAGAGAGTTTCGCCAACTCAGGATTTGACTCCATGTTGTTTCCAAATGGATCCACACCGCTGCCACTTAAGTACAGCGCTGTATGAATACGCTGTACAATGTTCCGTAGTAATTAATTAGACGAGATTATAGAGCCAAAATTTACAGAGATTATAGCTAAGACATGTGTCTATGTGTATCTAGATTTCTAGAAATGTAACTGAAATCGTTCGCGCTATATGATAGTTTAATAGTACACTTTCTTACCGCCCATAGCCGTGCGTATATTAACCTGTGCGATCACCATTAGAAATATTATTAAAAAATGTTTTAAAACAAACGTCTACAGTTTGATTACAACGACGGTGGCGCCACTCAAAGTGCACGATCTGAAAAGTTGCGCAAAACCACTTTCCAGCCAAGGGCTACAGACCGAGGGTGTTTCTTATTTATCCATTTAAAAGCAAAAGGATTGTAATATCTTATAAACGACATGTATATAATTTCAGTTATCATATGGATAAATTTGCCCTAAAATGAATATCGTTCGGTTAAATAGCATTTAGGTATAAATATAATTGCACTTTTGTGATTAGCCTTCGGTCTGTAACCCTACAAAATTAATTGTCAATACGCAACTTTTTCGGGGTGGCAGCACGGTCGCGGGTGTCATGGCGCTGTTCAAATTTCGTAGCGTTAATGTGTAAATAATTAATTAGGTATCTGGTGACAAATACATGTGGGTATAGACGATTTGTTATACAGTAAGTACAGTTGTATGCAGTAAAATCTTAGAGGCTACTATCCCTTTAATACTTCTCAGCCCACTGTATTCTATCTGTTATGCATTTCATATGGATGTCATGTTACAAAACCTAATTGTTCCTTGGTCTACAACCTTTTACTGTTTTATTCGAACAAGTCCTCCAGACAGTTCGCATGCTAAACACCTAGTTATGGGCTGCTCAATTATATCTTTATTACTGGTCAAGGTAACAAAATCCTCGACACTCCATGCATTACTTAATTTGTTCCCACTGAAAACTCAGCAGATTGCTTTACAGTTACACACTTCAATATAGTCACCTGAGCAGCTTAGTAAAATTGCCTTCACATTACTTCTTTATTTGTCATTGCATTATTTGTCTGCATCTCTTTCAGATAATTACTCACACCAGCACGTCTACACCAATTGGCAGGACCATCCAAAATCTCCGTCATGCTCACCATGCGTTGACAGCAGTTCAACCGTGTGAACTTCGCAGCACATTGAACGTACGTATGTCTACCTAGTTATGGGCTGCTACTTGACATTTTTCTTATTGGTCACTGGCACATTTGTTTTGCGATGCATGCAAAACCTTTTCCATTCCAACTCCAAATATCTGCTTACAAACTTCAGTACACTTTCTTACAGTTTACAACACTTTAGTGCTGTATCAAAACGTTCTGCAGAGGGTTGATATGCTAAATCTTTCTTTCAACATGCTGCATGATTTGTCTATGTTTCTTTCAGATAATTACTCACACCAGCACGTCTACACCAATCGGAACATTGGCAGGACCATCCAAAATGTCCGTCATGCTCGTCATGCGTTGACAGCAGTTCAACCGTGTCAACTTCGCAGCACATTCAACGTACGTATATGTACCTAATTATGGGCTGCTACTTCACATGTTTATTATTCGTCACTGGCAGATTGATTTTGCGCTGCATGCAAAACCTTTTTCATTCCAACTGCACATATCTGTTTACAAACTTCACTACATTTTCTTCCAGTTTACAACACTCTAGTGCTGTATCAAAACGTTCTGCAGAGGGTTAATATGCTAAATCTTTCTTTCAACATGCTGCATGATTTGTCTATGTTTCTTTCAGATAATTACTCACACCAGCACGTCTACACCAATCGCCAGATTGGCAGGACCATCCAAAATGTGCGTCATGCTCACCATCCGTTGACAGCAGTTCAACCGTCTGAACTTCGCAGCACATTGAATGTACGTATGTCTACCTAGTTATGGGTTATGGGTTTTTTCATAGTCTACCATAGCGGCTTGGCACTGCAGCTTCGACAATGCAATCCGATCATCTTCGCTCTTCATGAAACATGCACGCACGCAAACACATATACATGCAAACACATATACATGCAAACACACACACACACACACACATACACACACACAAACACACATACTCACAAACATATACACACACATACACACACACACACACAAACACAATACACTGACATCAACACTCAGTCACACACACGCATACACATATATTGTTTGTTACAGTGCACACACACGCGCGTGCGCGCACATGCGCGAAGGCACAGGCAACTACATGACGTTACCCTTATTACATTCACAGTAATGCGATTCTGCGATTCTAATGTATAATCGATTGCTTGCGGAAAACTCATAATCGGTGAAACTGATAATATGCATTGCCTTCAATTTCATGCTTGACATGTACTTTTTATTCTTTGGCACCATTTACTTCTATACCTTTCACTCTTTCCCCTGTGAAAGATCGCTTCTTTCTCTGCTATACATTACTTAGCATTATTGAAACTAAATGTTTAGGTATGGTGTCATTCACCTGTTCATGACATTGGCCCCACTGGCATTTCCTTCTTGTAACATTTTCGAACAATTTCTGTCTGTTTCTTTCAGGCCTCTACTGCGACCAGCAGGTCAACGACAATCAGCGGCTCTTTACGGATCTCTGCCTAACAGTAGCCAATAGCATACACTGCTTTCAAATAATGATGGGTTACCTTCGTCTGTGTATGCTAGTGTAGTGAAGACTATTTGGGATCTATAGGTGGAATCTGTGTGTGTGTTTGCTATTGCAGGAATTGTCATCCCCCACATCTGTATGAATTCGTTCTCCTCTTCAATGACATGAGTATGTTGTTCGGTTTCTCTCCTTAAAAACAATACCCTGGTTACAAATCATTATGGGTTAGCTTTGTGTCTGTATGCTGTAGTGAAGACTAGTTTGCAATCTTTAGGGGTTGGCTATGTGTCTTGGCTACTGCAGAATTAGTATTCACTACAACAGCATGTACACACAAAGCTAACCCATAATCCCAACAAGTGTGGAAACAAACCCAAGATGTGGGAAAGACAATTCCTGCAATAGCAAACACACACATAGCCAACGTATACAGCGCATAGTAGTAGTTGTCGTCTTTCTTTTGATTACCAGAATTATCATAAATCATTTCGCAATCATTATGAGCTCGGTTCGTGTTTATATGCTGTTCTAGTGCATCACCCATGTCACTATGAACACCATTTGTGCTGTTTGCCATCGATCCTCAACAGAGATACACTCATGTGAGTTTGTGAGACTTTTGCCACATCATGCATACAATAATAGGTTATGCATGCGTCATTTTGGGGACCGTGCAGGGATGACAGTAGATGCACAAGTGTGTTGTGAGTGTAGCAATTACATATGCCCACGTATCCCCAAACACCTACATACACCTGTCTGGCAGGACGCTTGGCCTGCTGTAGTATGGACATGCCTTTCCAAACGACACTATGCAGAACCTAACACTTTCATGAAGTTTTTGGCACATGATCTCCGTGCTATCTGGATTCCTGAGATTCACCGTTGGCTGCCAGAGATGCACTGTGCACAGTGTATCCAGCCAAACTTTACTGACATCACTAGCAGTCTCAGAACCTTCCAACAACACATTGATAGTGGTGAATTGGCAAGGCTTATGGGCGCCCTCAATGATACATGCTTTCCTCAGGTTCGCTGCCCAATGGGGTGCTATATGTATGCAGATGATAGAGAGAAATTGCATTATTTGCCCGCTTCTCATTATTTGGCCTCATTCATCCCTTCCTTTGTATCATTTGGAAGCCAGGCTAACGTCTTTCAAGGGGCCAGAACTGACTGGACCACTCCCATTGTAGATTTACACTGGACAGTTTACCCTTCTCTCATTGTAGACAAAATTGACGGCCTTTGTATTTTGATGTGTTCTCCTAAAAGCCACTCTGACGGCAGAAAATCATACTTGCATGTTCCCACTCATCCTATTGTTGGGTCGCATGCACCTCAAGCCCCCGACTACTTGGCTCCGGCTGTGGTAACTGGCAAAGTCGCACGTACTGGCTCTTCTAATTTTTACAATACTTCGTTTCCTGTGTTCTACCAGCAAGGTAACAGTGGGGGTCTGTCTACTCTAAGACTTTCCACCCGTCACCCACATTTTCAGATGACGGATGACATTGCTGTTTGTAGTGGATTTACACTGGATCAGCGCCCAGACATCCTGCAGTATGCTATGCAGGCTCCACAGTTTGAGCAGCATGCAATTTTGGATACTCTTCATAGGTACCGCCATCAGAAGCAGCCAGAACAGGTGATTGCATCGTGTGCAGCTGCATCAACGTTTATCGATGTTCCTGATGCTTGTTTACTCACATATGCATGTAACTCACAAGCAGTTGCTGTCAATGATGACATACACCTGCAAGCAGCAGACAGAGTCACTAGTACAAATCCATCTGACTGCCTATTCATAGCACATTCGAACACTTTGGCTGGACACAAACCCTTTCACATTCTACGAGGGCAAGCGATGGCTGCACATGCAGATTTTCCTTCAACTTGGTTGTTGCATGCCACCTTACAGTCCTTTTTGCATGTGCGATTGTTACACTCTTGTCTACTTCATCGTCGGTGGGAACATGGCAATTATGTACTTCATAGACAGCTTGTTGATGTCTGCAAACTTTTTGCCAACAACCACACCCCTAGTCAGATGCCAGTCACAGTATCAACTGTGAGAGAATTATGCACTGCTTTGTCTAGTTTACCCCAGGGTCTTTATGCAGAGAACACACTAGCATGTGTGTTGAAACATCTGTGTCCGGCGATTGAGTATCTACAGCTTGTGGATGATTGGCATTTCCCAGAAGCAAATGCAGTTGCTGCTGGTTTATTGCTTATGACGCGGCAAGGAAGACTTCGTCGTCAACAGCATATGCCTTTGCAATCTGCAGATGGACAGTGGCAGCTGTTGTTTGGATTGTCCATTGAAATACATCTGCATGGCAATCATGTTGAGGTTTGTTTTCGTTGGGCTCCAGCTTTTGAGTGGCAATGCACTGGAACACGAGAACATGACAGACCAGCGTCTCTCATGCGGTTTCTCATTTACGGCACTCAAGCAAAACTAGAGCAAGCTAGAGAGGATGTCTTGCGCACATGTGGTGGCCAATCGAAAGTGGTCTGTCTGCATCATGGTCAATATCTGCTACGTGAAGAAAGAGGGTGCCCACTTCCTTGTTGTGACCGTGCATGCACCACTGGCATTCGTTGGCGCTGTCCACAAGGTGTTGGTCATGTACAGTGTACTGTTGGGTTGTGTCTGCATCATTTACGTCTGTGCATAAACTCTGTTGACAATGGTCATGTTTCTGTAGCTTTGTACGGCCCGTTTATGCAGGAAGGGCGTGCTGAAAGGGTTCCTCTCCTTGGTTCAGATGATGATGATGGGAACATTGCTGAAGACGATATGTTGACTCTCATTGCCAATGAAAGTGACTTGCATGATGTTCCTTGCAACCCTCTACAACGGTATGCTGTTGGTGGATATGAAGCTCCAGCTGATACATGTCCCACCATCACATCTTCCCCAGATGCTTCTTGCTTCCTTTCAGGGAATAGTTCAAATGGAACACTCGGACATTATTTGCTGAATAATCATTTGCAAGTTTTACACCACAAGTCATCACAGTCCCACAAGCCACCAGTTGCAGCACAAAAAATCCTGCAGCAAATATGTGCTCGTACGCCAGAATGGACTGTCCCCCTCATATATCCTGAGGCCCAGTTATTTCCACGAATCTTTTGGAATATGCATGGGAATGCAGTTGCGGGTGCCTTGCCAGCTATCATGTTTACCGCTCAACAGTGGGTCAAACACCTTAATGTTGCATCACTCACAGACCACATGTATGTGCGTTTGATGGATGGGAGTCTTCTCACATCACGCGATACTGCATATCTGCAGTTCATTTTTGATGTGCGGCTTAACACTGTTCTTAATTGGAACTCGGCAACAATTGCTTGTAGAAAAGGTCTGGAGCACCTTACACACGGACACAGCGCACACGGTTTGCATGGCCAAGAAACGATTCTGCACTTAGATGAGTTAGATGCTCGTCGCGAAGTGAAACGTTTGTCTGCGTTACTACGCTCTGAGGGGGCCTGGCATTACTTTGTCACATTAACATGTAACGACAGTGCTACCATGGGTGTTTGGCCTATACGTGCAGCAATTGTCAGCTCCTCTGATGCTCTCACTAGAGAAGCCATGCTGCAGAACTATGTGGTTATTATGTGCAGAGCTTGGGAAAGAACAACTCGTTACCTATGGAACTACATCCTATACAGCCATGAGCGTCCACTTGGCCATGTGAAGTGCGGTTGGATGCGATATGAATTTCAAAGTGCTGGAGCATTAGGAAATCGCCCTCACATTCACGGAGGTGTGACTTTGCATGTGGAACCTGAGGAGGTTTCACTCAGCCGGATCAGGTGTTCAATGAAGCACATGTTTACAGAAGATGCCCGCACTGATATGGAAACATTGCTCCAGCTTGGCATTGTTAAAAACCAAGAAGACTTTCAGCGATTGTATTGTCTGGCAAAGTGTTTGCAGACACATGATTGTAACAAGGCAGGAGGTCGTTGCAAAAAGCGGCGTGCTGCTGACGATTCCTTGATTTGTCGAGTTCAACATCATCCGGCCAGCTGCAAATACAACTTTGATGAAAAAGAAGACCTCTATGATTCGGAAACTTTGAATAGACTTCAATATTTGGATCTTGGGGGATATGATCCCATTGCACATGAATGGAAACCAGACAAAGCATTTCGGGCTGGTAGGTGGCAATATCCGGCTGAACCTGCTGAACATTTTATTCCAACCGTGCCTCTGCTGTTTGTTGCAATGCAGGCATGCACAAATGTCCAGTACTGTGATCGGAAATTTCAAGTGGCATATTTGGCTAAATATGCAGCAGGCATAGACGAAAAGCCAGAGGTTAGTTTTACTTCTTCACGTGTTGACCCTAGGATTATTGATGCTGAAGTTCACAACCTGGTGAATGCCAAAATTTCTGGCCAGGCCATTGCCCATCGCAAAAATCGTTCCTCCACACTTGCCCGCCAGATTGCCCTCACTGAAATGATTTGGTTCAGTGCTGGCCTCCCATACGTTTGCTATCCGACTGATATTACTTCAGTTTCCACTATGCCTCCAGAGTACCGTGCTTCCATTCACAAACAAGCTGGTCATGTAACAAGAGTAGAAGGTGGTGGAGGCCTCTTGCATCCAGTAGAAGCTCGGCGTCATTTACCACCTTGGCGACATTTCACTGCAACGCAACAACTGACTATGCTGGATTATGCCAGGGGCACATACTGTTTGGATGCAACAACAGGTTTCTCACTTAGGCCACCTGAGCTACTGATTTTCAATAATCTGGAGCAGTATGCCAAATGGTTCACTTTTCAACCAAGGTACACCGAATATGCTGCTGAGAATGATCTGGCCTCCTGTCTCTGGATTGATGGTGCTTGTCGTCATGTTCGTTTGCGCAAGGCTTATGTTTCTTCGGCATGTCACTATATTCATGCCATGCAGCATGATCGTGAATGGGGTTTTCAAGCCCGAGATTTGCTCAATAGTCTATTTGCT